GGTCCCGAATGGGTTTAACTGCTGCTAACAGGTGATGACCTATACCTGTACCTGAACAGATGATAATGTCAGGCTGTCAGAAGAGCCTTGCTTATATAGTTTATATCAAGTACTGTACTTGAGCAGTACAGTGGGGACATCACCACTCAATAACAGCTGGTCACAGATGCTCAGAAAGGCTTCATCTGTGACTGAAATAAAAGAAAGAAACATAGAAAGGAAATTGTAGCTGCACATCAGGAAATTAACAACAATATTTTTCTGTGTCTGAAACATGCATTATAGCATGTGGGTAACTGGGAGTAAGCTGTAGCAAGGAGAGATGGTGTAAAGAATTTCAAACTTTTTACTTTTATAATCAACACCATATAAGTCAGAAATGTTTCTATTCATATCTTATTCATATCGTAACTTTTTATGTTATGCCACATGTAGCTTAAAGCAAGTCCTAGAAGAGCCGAGTCCTTTCTGCTTTCTAACGTGACAATGTTGCTCTTAACGTAAAAATAAACTGTGTTTTTTCTGCTTTGAATACTAGATGCTGGTGACTGCTACTGAGTTTACGGTCATCTTGTATTTCATACTGTACATTATGGTGATTATTAACCTGGTCGCTATTCATTTTCTTACATTTTCAAGGTTAAAACACAATGGTAGCATTTGGAGCAAGTCTTTTAGCTGTCACTGAGCTTATCTGTGCTGTCGTCCCTGCTCCCACTGGCTTATGTAACACTGTGATATGTCTGTCGTTAGCTTCCTTGGGTGGCCTCCAGGCAAGTAAAGACATTCCAAACAGCTGCACAAAACATGTCCACATGTAGGTGATTGGAGCCACATGAGGAAAAGCACCCATTAACCCTGCATGAACAGCCGGTAGCTTTGGTGTGGAATGATACCCCACACAGAAACAGACTGGGCCTTTACTTTCATGTAGGTCAGTTGATACAAACATGTCACTTTCTACTCACATGTACTGTATTGAAGCATTTTGAAAAACCTGCCCACTGTCTTTATATGAACAGAAGGCCATCAGTGGTTTTGAACCCATCTGTGACATAAGTATCTCCCTGCAGTTGCCCCCATATCTGATAAGAAGCTAGGGCCATTTAACTGTTTTATTCTTGTGATTTGTAATGATCAAGAGCCTGAAGCTACCTTGTTAGGAATCTTTCCAGTAAAACAGAAGATGTGCTCAGGAACCACGAATTATTTTTATTTTTTTAAAGAAAATGAATCAGAAAACAGAACAAAGTTGCAATTGGTTCATGTACATATTCATACCTGTTCTCTGCTGCTTATGGGGTGGTGAACGTGTATACATTTCTCCTACCTCTTTGAAAGAAGTGGGGATATCACGGAGTTCAATTTTTAATTTAAGATGTAACTCAACAGGCCATAGCTTTTTTACATTGTAATTAAAAATAGATTCTGAAAGGCAGTCCACAATGTTTTGCTAAGATACACGTTAAAAAAAGAATAATTTAAAATCGAGCCTTTCTGGGCTGTAATTTATAAAGGCAAGAAAGCAGCGCTCCCACTGCTCAGCTCACACCTCGGAGGATGTGCGTTAGTAAAACAGGAGTATGCTGCCCCGGTCTCTGGACATACAGTACAGTACCAACACAGTTTCTACCGGCCGTCTGAAGAGCTCACACTCTTTTGTGAGCTGTGGAGGAACAGAAGGGTCTTTGTTGGTTCCTTTGCTTGGATTTCCCTCCTCAGATGTAAAACGGATGTCTGTGCTGCTGCTGGGTCAATGTTTTACTCGATGTTATTTTGTACTGTTCTTGTTCTTTCTTTTTCTCTCTGTCTCTAGGTCTTCTGTCTGCCGTTGGTGTAACCTTCCTTCTTCTTTCTCCTTTCCTCCTTCTCCTTCTCCTGCCTGCTCCTGCTCCCCAGCTGCAGGCCTGGTGGTCAAGGTGCAATGCCGCGGTGTCGTTGGGCTGTGTGATTCCCTGGCAGACAGCGATCGATAGTGAGTACTTGTGGTGCGATAGATGTTACTGAAAACATTAGCTTCCCGCTCAAAAGTTGTACTACTTCATTAAACCCACTTAATCTGGTATATTAATATCAAACCATGTAACTATAGGGAAATGTTGGTAGCTGAAAATAAAAATAAGTTGCTGCACATCATTAACACTATTAATTCATGGATATCAATATAATACATTGATACAGCTGGTGGTGATAGCACATTTCACTTTCTTTGTAAACAACTGCATCGTATTCAGTAAACTCGTTCACTAGTGGTTATTCCGGAAACGTTTTGACGTGTGCGATTTAACTACATGAAAACCATGTAGATTGAAGCGGGTCTCCTGCTTCTATATGTAAGGCGCTTTGGGATTCTGTAGGATGAGAAGCACTAGCTAAATTCGAGAAATTACTATCATCTAACGGTACCTCTCGCTGAACGGGCATCTAGAAACTGGAACGTGGCCAAAATATCGCCCTCTGTACAGAGAACCTTGTTGGGGTTTGTTGAATATAAATATTGACATTTCAGTCATTTTAGATAACACAACCCTAGCGATGTGGAAGACATTAAAGAGCTTGTGCATTGATGCATTTAGTAATCCTCTAAAATGCTGTCTTTTTCTATAACTGGATGTATGGCTATTGACACGTGTGGTTATTGTATGGAATAAATTGTAACGGATTCAGGTTCTCGGGCCTTGTGCCCTCGCTGCTGTTCTCTCAGCCCACTTCGTCTCTCTACCGCCTGGGAGCGAACCCGGGTCTCCGGTGTCGCTCTACAGGGGTCTTGCCGGCTAAGCTAAAGAAGACCTTTAGCCCGGGCGGCCAAGATCCCTGCTTATTCGTGACACTCTTAAGAAAGTTGCTTTTCACAGTTTTGTTTGAGGATTTTCCAGCGCTACTTTTCAATGAGGATCAATCAGTGGCCCACCTACAGTACCTTTCATTGCATTTGAGGGGGTGGAACACGGCTCGGCGCACAGGAGACGGCTCCAGAAGATGATGTGGCCTCCTTGCAGCCCGGGCTGTTGTGAATGCTCCTGTGGCCGGAGACAGGGCCTTCGTCGCTATCCGGGGAGCGGGTGCTGTGCACGCCCTGAGCCCGCGATCTGCCGTGATTGAGCCGGGCTGCAGGGGTAAAACTTCGCCCGGCTCTGTCGGCACAGGTGGGGCCACTGAAACGCGTAAAGCAGCTATAGTGCAGCACAGCCCCAGCGCATTGGGCCGATTCGATGGAGCCTTTTGTAATGACGTGCGTTTTAGCTTTTGTGTGTGTATGTAATATTAATGTATTATTACTGTTATTACTATATAATGTACTATACTATAAATTATATTATATAATAAACTATAAAATAGTGACTTATTTATAAGCGCCTTTTCCAACCCAACGACGCACATCGAGAATACAAATAAAAGTAAAAAAAAAAGGTACAATAAGAAGTAAAAAGACATCAATAAAAAAGAAACCTAGAGCAGGCGGGTTTCTACAGAAGGAGGCAATCAGACGTAGACTTTGGTAAAAGGGGTAAGGTTTAAAGTTTGGATGTGAAGAGAGCGAAAGAACCAAGTAAAGGTTTATTCCTTGCCGAAAAGAGGCGAAAGGGAACACAACGTTTCGGGTGTGAAGGGAAAAGAGTGAAAGACGTTGTCTCTACAGAGTCTGGAGCAGGCCACTCCATAACCCTAGAACACCGAGTCCGGGATCTAGTCCTGGGGACAGTGCCTCAGCTGAGCGGAGTGAACACGGAGGAGTTTCAGAGATGTATGATGGAGCCAGATCGTGACTAGAGCATTAGAAGACAGTCACACGATCTTATATTGAAGATGTGACCTTATAGGCACCCAATATCGGGAGAAGGATTCAGTCATGCTAACTACTGCCTGGACTACATTTCAAAAGAGAGTCGGGGGGGATAGCAAAAAAAAACAACCGAATAACACGACACCATGAGAATCCCATAAAATAGAAAGAGTATGTCACGGGGCTCGTCGAGAAACTGCTCCCCCAGGAAGCTGAATCTAAGCCTTGATTATCCCACGGCTGTAGCACGGTCTCTCTACGCCGCGACACGGACCGCTGGCCTGAAGCGCTCTGGGACTCTGGGCTCCCAGGCGCCCGAGAAACGGAAAACCGACAATCCCGGCGGGATTCAGCACGTGGTGATCACGGGAAGACGACAGGCCGCGGGAGTGGGGAGGGGAAATTCAGGACCCATCACCCGAAATGGGAAACCGGCCCCACCGGAGGCTCCTCTTGCGGAGATCTTTCAAGTCAGAAAACCAGTCATCCTACGGAAGGGTCCTGTGCCGAGCAGACTCGTTTTGTGTCATGTGAAATACGTAACTAAACGTGTTTATTCCAAGCGCGCTCACGGTCAGGTGTTCTTCATAATTTGAAGTGTCGTAGCACAATTTGTCTTATTACTGTTCGCTTTACAGATTCCCCACAAAACAGCGATGTGTTTTACGTCCTGCTGTAATTGTAAAGTGATCAGTGCATTCTCTTTACAATTCCTCTCGTTAATCGTCGTATAATTAGAATGGAATGACTAATTATAGACATTTTAGACATTTGTAACGACACTTCTGACTTGACCAAGAGGAATGTAAACCGTCCATTCACATCTTCGCAATTTTAAGTATATTGTTTTAACAAACTAAATCAGCGGTGAGACGCTTTAACACATGAACCGCTCATCCTCCAGATGTGATGTTAGAACAAGGCTTCCAAGCCCGGACATGTAAAGACGACAAAAAAAAAACACACGTGTTCGCGACTGCTTTTTCATAAACCACATAACATCTCGAAATGCAATTCTTTTTTTAAAAAAAGAAAGAAGCACCGTACTGTACTTGTCAAAAAAATGGCACAAAAAGAAGCCAGCGTTTCCCACGACCCCGCCCACCGCAGAACTCGGCCGCGTCAGCGTCCAATCGGGTGCGGAGGGGGGCGTGTCGGAGCCCCCGAGCCCCGCCCCCCCGGGACATGTTAGGGGAGTTGGAGCAGTCAGGCTGGCTGTGTGCGCGGAGTGCGGGACAAAGTAGCTCTCCGCCCTGGCACTGAGCTCAGCTGCACTGGCAAGGCGACCCAGCACCGCGAAGGCACCGCTCTCGTCCAGCACCAAAAAGGGAAAGTCGGGGCTGCGAGCATGGCGGTCGAAGAAGAAGGGTTACGAGTGTTTCAGAGCGTCAAAATCAAAATAGGTAAGGCGGAATTCATGAAGAGCGCAGCTCATTGAGTTGGGCATCTGCATTCACAGCTGTATGGTCTAAGCGGCGGCTGCTTTTGCTGGAGCTTTGTCTTCTTAGTGTAACACCAGCCGCCCCCCCTGTTAAAAACAGATTTCCTACAAATATATGTTTTCAAAAGGCGAACATCGTCCTGTTTATGATCCGTCCGTCCCCGGTTGAAAAATACGTGCTAGCGAAGTATTTCTGAGAGGGTGAGAGGGCTGAGGAACGACAGCGGTGCTCCTTCCAGGGAAGGGGAATGTAGCGTGTCGAGGCAGCCGTGTGTTTCTGAAAACGTGCCGAGTGTAACGCGTGCAGTTACAGATCTGACAAGTCGGGGAAAGTTGTCCTTTTTCCGAGCCGACAGCCGCTGGAGCAGCAGGCGGCCGGCGGCTTTCCTCCTTCGCTTTAGGTCAGCGAGGCGATGTTGGCCGGCGGGGCTGAGCTGTCGCAGCACCGCTTCTTGGCGATTGATGCGGCATTCCGTCGTAGTGAAACGGTCCCCTTCATGTGCCGGACATGGAGTCTTTGAAGCAGTGAAATGTTGGTTCGGGGAGAACGAATGAAGTGGGATTATCATGAATAGATTATCATGAATAATCTTCGTCCATCCTTCCCGCCGACGTTTCCTGGCGAAAGGTTGCGTCTTATTATTGGCTTTTGTTTAAAATGAGGTGTCATGAGGATGCTCTTCGCTGCGGAACACCGATCAAGTGACAGAAACCGTGACATTTGAGCGTGACGCGTGTCTTTCAGCGCACAGTGCATAGTGATTGAGTCTGGAGAGGCAGTGTGGTGCATGTACCCATGTATCCCAAGCGTATCCAACATCTCCTGGACTTGGATTTAGGAGCTGCTCCATGCATTTTTATTTTTTTGTGTGTCGCTTTGCTTGACGTCTTCTATTTTCGTGCCTTTTTTCCCCCACACAGATGTCCAAACGGTTCTTTGGACCGTCTGTCCCTAAAAATTGTTTAAACTTCCGTGTTAACTTTGGCTGCTTAAACGATTGACGGTGTATTGTTAGGGACGGGAATCTGAGTAGTTGAACATAAAATATAAACGTCGTTTTTTTATCGGTGCCCTGGGTGTGTGGGGTTAGGTTTCCAAGTCGGTGCCAGCTGTGCTGGGGTCTTTTTCCCTTTAGATGCGAGAAAATGAAATTTCCGTTGTGCATCACAGTACTCCGCGTTATACTATGTGCATTCATTGGACTGACTACCGTGGTTGCGTTTCTGGTTTTGGAAAACACACACCTTCCTGTCAGGCAGAGAAACTTGTTTGCTGTTGCTGTCATATGGTAACGGCGAGAGCGGCGGGGTCTCTTGGCTTCTTCAGACGCGCGACCCAGGCGGCAGTTCATAGGTTTTTTAGACATGAGATACTAAAATCTGGGATGTGGGACTTTTCCCGGTAGCTTTCGGGTGCCAGAGCTGGTCTGTGCGGTAAGATACCCCATCACCCCATCACCCGCGGATTCTGCCGGCTGTCCGGAGTGTCCGAGCGTACTTTTTAAGGCGCCCTGTTCGGCACGTGGCGCATGTTTTATTTCCTCTGCACAGTGTGTGTGTGTGTGTTTTGAGAAAGCGAAATGCCGACGAGTTGTTCAGATGAAATGGGATGATTTATGTTTGCTATCGTAAAAATCATTCTAAAAATATATCGCTATACGGGGGGAAAAAAATCTGTTTTCCCCCGACGAACGCCAATGAGCGGGCGGCAGACGTGTGACAACGGCGTGTGCCTGGTGTGGTAATAACCTTCTTTTCTTTTCTTGCGTGTGTCTGAAACTGAGGAGGTGACAGACGCCCGCACGGCTCTCATCTGATGCAGGGGAAGCAGCTGTTGCGCTTTGATTTAAATTTGATTCATGTTGAATTGTTAATGCATTGTCGATTTCACTTCCATCGAAGGAGCATACCTCTTTGTACCGGAGCCTTTTACTCTGCTAGCTTCTAAATCATTTCCGTTTTCGACTCCACTATAAACTATGAATCTTGTTTGCTGTTTTTATATGGCCTCATCAGAGTGTAGGAAATATATACATATATCTTAGACACAGTATATCGCACGATATATGTAGATAACCCAATATCGAGTGACGTTCGTGATAGCAGATCAGTTGTCTGTGAAGAGGGACCTTTGTGTAATGTACAACTTGATTTTGACATTCAGTTCCACCCCCACATGCTGTCTGTTTTGTGGTCTCTCCCAAGTAAATTATAGTGGCGGCCTCGCCTGTTAAGATGCATTTCATAGACGCTCATTTGAGTTTCTTACCACAAAAACATCTTGGAGCTGCTGGGGTTCTGTTTACCGAAGTCAGTGTAGGCTTTGTTTCTTCTTAAATACTCTCTCACCTGTTATAGGGTGCCTGAGAAGGGGTTTTCTTTTGTACAGTACTCTACACTATATTATTCGCACCAATCTGACTACCAACCAGAGTTGCTTTTCTGTTTTTGTAGAGGCCACAGCTTCCTCTCAGGCTGGGCCACCGACTGGAAGAGGAACCTGACTGTTATGACCGCCTTAGTGTAACAGTGTGGGGCAGTCAGTTTGTGTCTTAGCTTCTTTACGCGCCTTTAAGATACAACGTGGGTTGTGAGGTCAGGGCAGGGGTACATCTGTTGTTCTGCTTGTAGGAACAGAATCAGTTAGGAAAAAAAAGGTCATCGTTATCTGTCCTGCCGGGTGACGTTCTTCAGATTTCCTTTCTGGTTGTGTTGTGACAGTGTAATTGTCATTATATTTTAAGGTGTCATGCGTGTTAAGTTAAAAAATGAAAATTCATGAATGAAGTCAAAATTACCTTTATCATGGGCTGCCTTGGGTCCAGATTTGGTTTATTATGACACTGATGTTTTTAGTGTTCCAAATGAACTGTTGTGGAGCGTCCTGGTTTTCATTCAGCTGGGAGCTCTCCTGGGATTAGATACACAAAGCTTACACAATGACCAGACATCTCCTGGGTCCTTCTCTCACCCCCATTTCCATTATTTACGACTGTATTAAATGCGTATTAAATGCTTATTTAATTCTCTGTCATGTTGAGGCACGACGCTTGTGACAGAGAGGAGTGACTAAAGATGATTGATGAGTTCATGGCAAATTGGAAATAAATTGGATCCAGATAGCTGAAGCAAAAGAGAGCCCACAGGAAATCAAGGAAACTGCTTCCCCTGGGTCAACCAAGCATACGATGACCTGTGTGTGGGGAAAATCTGACTTCACAGTCACATGAGAACTCACAGTCCAGACTGATAGAGACACATCGTGGGCTGACATTACTGAGCGCAGTGGACAGTCATCATCTTCATTGCTCTGGGACGCAGTTCTAGTGGGTTGGATTTCTCAAGAGTTGATATATCACACTGGGGGCGGAGACTCTTATTGCATAAGGAAGATAAGATGTCTTAATAAGGGGGGCTGGAGAAACTGTCGCATCAACAGTTACAGTAGCTGGCCAGCACAACATCAGCTCATGGTAGCAGTCCTCTAGCAGGAAGTGTTGAGTCTGGATACTTTACATTACCACAGGAAATGACTTCAATCATTTCACACAGGGGGACCAGCCCTCTCCAGATAATGATGCCCGAGGAGGAAAAAACTGAGTATGAAGCTGACAGTTCTGCATTAGTAGTTATTTTTTTCCTGAGAAGTACATGCAAAACACAGTGATCATAAGCGATCGAATCAGTGCAGTCGACATACAGAGACACTCTATGAAAATGAAGCCCGGGGACTTTTTTTATCCTTGTTTCTGTTAAATTATAGTAACAACTGTACTCAAGGAATTAGTCACAGTTAAGAGATTTACTTTCAAGTGACTGACAGATCTGTGCAGCAAGTCTAAGAGAGAGAAGGGGGTGCAGATTGCAGTACGGAGATCAGTGGCTGTTAATTTACAGGATACCTAGCTAAACTGCATGAAGGGTACAAATGTGCAGAGATTCTCTGAGTACTGCTTGATCTGTATTAGAGTACAGATTTGGTTTATTATTACGAGCAGCGTGGACCTGAACATGAGCCTGAAGTGAAGGTCAGTGTTAAGCGATCACACCTGGCCAGTTATTGATATTGTCCTCCTTGACCTGGAATTGTTTGCTGTGAGCGAGAATAAGAATACATTCTATCTTAGTATTTAATAGTGGCTATTGTAAAAGCGCTTCAGTGTGCTGCTATGATTCCACATGTTTTTTTTTTTCATTGATGTCTTTGGGGAGTTTGCATGCTTCCCTGTGAATACATGGGTTTCAGGAGTTCCTCCAGGTTCCTCCAATGCTCCAGCCTGCTACTGGGTTGATAAGTGTCTCTGTGTGCTTTCTGTATGTGTGTACATGTTGTGCAATTAACTGTTTCCACCCAGGTAGTAGGACCTTAACTCCTCTGCTTCTGTGATAGGCTCCAGTTTTCTGTGACTTAAGAAAAGATTGTCTTTCATGTAATAAAAAGATGAACTAACACTATTGTTTGCAGAATTTCAGCTATTTTCTTCTGCCATGAAAACCACTGCCTGATGATCAGGTAGAAGGATCCATCTTGGCTATGTTTTTTGACTCACCCTTCACGTATTTTCAGTTGGGCTGCAAGTTTCAAAGTCACAGCAGGGATTTACAGAAATCTGCCTTTTGTTTTGCAGAAGAAGATGATCAACGCAATTTCTGTATTCTTTCTACAGGATTAAAAATAGGATCGAGAGTTTGTGGATTGGAGTAAGAATGTCTATCAGTTTTTGAGTCATCTGATACTAGAAGACTCTGATACGTTGATAATGATCAGATACTCGGATATTAATCATCTATCGTTCAGTGATGCTTTTACTGGGTGACATTGCCCAAACCAGGAAACACACACACACAACAGCACAACAGCATCCATCTTTATACCAGAAATCTAATTGTATAATCACAAGATAAAGAGGATGTGGTTGTAGTTCACTTTTCTGGTTTGATTTGCAGCCTGTGTATATTTAG